TGAGTACACAGCAAAACCATGCTTAGAGTATATGAAATATATATACTCTAAGCATGGTTTTGCTGTGTACTCACCCAAATGATAGAGACCCGTTACATTCCAAAAGGCAATTTATTAAAAGCAAAAAAAATTTTTGTATTCGTTGTCATCCTACATATTGTACAGTACATAAAGTGTAATATTAATGTTGTAATTAAACTAGTAAGAAAGCTATATAGTAAGAAAACGAAAAAAAAGCATTTATGACTTTTATGTATTACTGCAAAGAAATATTGTTAAAAAAAAATAATAAAAGCAAAATATATTACAAAAAGCTTGAGAAAAAAAATGAATGAAAATAAAATCCTAATACAAATTTACATGTAAATTTTCTTTAGAACAGAATATTTCAATGTGTCTATATAGGAAAACCAATTATTAATATTAATAGTCTTTTTTACTGTCAAAGAAAATAAAAATACATCTATGAAATATTATATTATGCGACACCAAACATCCAAAAAGGTGGTATGTCTCTTCGTCTAGCTTCGTCTCCTATACCAATTATTGTATTCAATTCTTTTTCGTTTGTTTCGCCATCCAGAATAATTTTGTTTGTTATTTCATCAATTTTTTTAAAGTATTTAGAATAATCATATTCATCTTGAGTTTGACATGTAAATCCTTTGATTTCACTAGCATCGAGTGCACTCTTTGCCATATATGCTAAATTTATAATAGCGCCATCATGCATTCTATCCTTATAATGTTTGAAATGTTCTATAACTGCTTTACTAAGTTTTTGTCCATCTTTTGTTTTATATTGCCATATATCTGATCCACAATGTCCATTTTGTATTATTCGTACAAGACGTAACCAATATTGTAAATTTAATGTTGTATACCGAAAAATATCCTCGTCATAGTCTGTTGATTTGGTTTCATTAGTATCAACCAAATCCTGAACATACATAATCTCATGACTTTGTGAAATCTTTGGCGTTGACGCATCTAAAGAGATATTAAATTGTTTACCAATTCGCATCCGTATTCGATTGGCTACTCGAAGGTAAAGTCTTATATCGTCAACAAATCCAGATAATGATATCACTTGAAGGTCAAACATAGTCCCTCGATGATTGGATTGTCTCCCTATCTTAAGGTTTTGTGGTGAGTTAATTAGTGACTCTAACCAATCAGATGCAAAATTTCGGAGATTCATATATTCTTTATGAGTAAGAACATGAGCTCGATAAAGAAGTCTGCATGCATCCAGGAAAACACTTGGATCGATATTAGATAAATCTTTTGAAAAAGATGCGCCGACATTTAAAAATTTTAGTATCATTCGAGGAATTTTATTTAAATAAGGAAAACTATAACCTTCGTTATTAATGGTTTCATTATCAATCGTATAAGAAGGCACGTCTATGTCAACGTTGTCTTGTTCTCCAATTGCATACGATGAAAGAATGAATGATCGAATCAGATTAGCGGCCCATCTTGAATATTGTTCATCACCAGAAAAATAATGAGCAAGGGTCAAAGTTGTTACATTTTCAAAGAATACATCGGGTGATACAGTTGGAAGTGTCATGGGTGATTGCATAGGGGTTTTTCTAAATGAATCCTTCATAAGACCAAAAAGATCAAGGTGCGGATTTCTGGTCATGTTGACTAGTATAAAATCTTGATAAAAGTTGGTTTTTTTATCGGACTCTTGTTGTTTGATTTTCAAGAAATGTACACGAATATTCTCATCCAAATGGACATTAGGTTCCGATTCATATAAATTAATTGTTTCAGATAATATATCATCGGCATGTTTGATCAATATTTTAACCACTTTAGCCACTTTAGGTACCCAGCTTAATAATTAGTAAAGGTTAGAATTTTAGATTTTAGGTAGTTGTCCCACAAAATTTTTTCTAC